GGAGGCTGTGGTTATGTACAAGATCACAGAATCACAGAATGATGGGGGTTGGAAGGGACCTCTGGAGATCACCTAGTCCAACCCCACTGCCAAAGCAGGGTCACCTACAGCAGGTTGCACTGGATCATGTCCAGATGGGTTTTGGATATCTCCAGAGATGGAGACTCCACAGCCTCTCTGGGCAGCCTTTGCCAGTGCTCTGTCACCCTCAAAGTGTAGAAGTTCTTCCTCATATTCAGATGAAACTTCCTGTGTTTCGGTTTGTGCCCATTGCCCCTTATTATTAAGATCTGTTATTAAACTATGCAGACCACATAAGACTGACTGGATGGGATCAGATCAGACCAAAGATCCACCTACCTCACCACCCTGAGCCCACTCAGCCAGTAGTCCAGGCTTCAGGAAGAGTACAAGAACAAGGCAAGCACCTCCATCCAGATACTGTCCCTTTTTTCAGCAATCTTGTCAGTGATGTGTGTTTATGCTAGTGCTGATTCTTAAGATTATAAGCATTGCAGATTTTGACAGGGACTCTAGATAACAAATACATTTTCATAAAATTCTATCTTTTGTGTGTACTAATTGGATGAGACAATCAAATGTAATTCAGAATTCAGGAAATAACTTTGTGCAGAATTTGTTTACTACATTTGTTTCATTAGACTTTGACCCTCATATCTGTATTAACAGAGACATATCAATTCCTTTTTTTCCTAGCATATAAATGGCATAATGTGTTGACTCTTCACCCCCCACCCCAGCATATTGCTGTAAGTTCAGGAGGGGTTAGTTTGGATTCCTTTTAATGAAAGATGATGGGAAACATTGTATGCTATATAGTAATATTAAAAGCAAATATAGATGTAACAGGATTAAATAGCTACCAAGACTGCATTTGTAGTAAGGAAGTGTTACAGTTTTCTGTTATATTCAGCTTTAGCTGTTGCTTTCTCAGCCAAGGAGTGTCACAGTACCCTTTCTCTGGGTCAAATCTGCACTAAAATACAAAATGAGTAATGCACCTGACGTTACTATCTTGTTCAGTGAGATGAGAGTGAGGGACCCCAGAGTAGCAAAACATTTATGTCTCTGAAAGCACATGAACGGGCCGATCGACCTGAGTAGTGCAGAGTTAAATACGCTTCCACGTGAGGCCTCTGGGGATAGGTGTTGTCTTCATATAAACAAACTGCATGGGGACCAAATGGTTGGGATCAGGGGCTTGCTCTGCTCGATCTTCATGCTTTGTGGTATTTCATCATTGTCCCTGCTAATGTTATTTCTCCCATGGCTTGCAGATTTTTCTTTACTCTTGTGTAATGTCTGTACCTTTTACTTTCAGAACACCTCACTGAGCAATCATGTTAAGTAATGATCAAAAAATAACTCATCAATCTGTGTAGACATGGCACGCACCGTAACACCGTGTTAACATGTTATAGGTAGAAGTTGAAGAAGAAAATGCTGAAAAGCTGACAGCGTGTTAAAGATGATTTGTTTATACAAGTGCTAAAGTTATGTTTGATATGTTAATGCAACCTCATTTTCCAGTAAAGGCCAAACACTATTAAGTGGTTATCTGCATTGATTTTTCTATCTTCTGAAATAATTAATTGTAAACCATCTTTACCCCTTTTGTGTACCTGGAACTAGGACTATCCTTTAACAGCCTCTTTCTGGGCAAGCCTCAAAGACTTTACTTGGTTATATTCTCCTGATCCACTTCTTGACCTCCATCAGTGTCCTCTTTAGCAGGTACTCCTTTTTGCCGTTTGTCTGGATTTTCCCTGTGGTGTTCTCAACCCTCCCCCCGGATAGTCACTGAAAGGGGTCAGCACCCACTGCAGGTTGAACCAGTGCCTCTTGCAAACATCCTCATTCTGCTGAATCATGTTAGCTGATGTTCATTAAAAAAGACTCACTGGTAGCCTAATGGTTTAAATTAGAAGATGGGAGGGAAGAACAGGTGTACTTGCTGTCTCTCCTTTCTTTCCTGTCTGAGACTCTTCTTGTCCTTTTGATTTGTTACCTGCTTTGCTTTTCATTTTGTGTCTTAGCTGCTTTTGATATATCCTGTGTTGGGTACAGAGGTATTTGTTTGGAAAAACTGAGTGCATTTAGAAGAACACAGCTGGGTTGCACTGTGGAAATATTGTTAGAGAAGACTGAGTGCCTGTTGAGGGGAATGGATGATGTTGTAGTGAAAAACTGTTTAGTTGGGCACTGATGATTGCTCAAGGAACACTTGGAGTAGGCTTAAAGAAGTTCATTATCTGACAAGTACATTATCACCTGAATGAGGCTAGCTAAGGTAGGAGACTTTTTGAGGGAAATGTATTCAGAGAGAAGAAGAAACATGAGGATTTGAAAGAAGAGAGGAAACCTTTTTCTGGTTGGGTTTTTGTGGGGTTTTTATCTTCAGTATTGCCTTTCTGGCTGCAGAACTCTAAATGCATACAGTAGACCACACGATGAAGCTAATCTTGGTGGATTGTTTGTGTGAAACCTTCATAAAATGACGTTACCTTTTATGAGGCTTTAATATCCTTTACGTAGCAGTCTTTAGCATTCTGATCAAGGAATATTCTCTTTGACACCCATCTACACTGCTCTCATATTCCTTGATGTACTCAACATATCTGAGGTAAAGCAGTTTTCTCAATTAACAGCCTGTCTTTCATAAAGTGTTACATTCATAGTAACTTCCATTTAAGTGCACAGTTACACCTCAGATCAGATGTTTAGGCAGCCTGTGTTATGCAAAATATTGTGTCTCTACTTTAAGAGGATTCTCTTTGAAGGTTTCCCAAGAATGAGTTTTCACAAGTTTGAGATAACAGGATTTAGACATTCTTATTTATAATATTTAAAATTAAACACTTCCTTTAGCTTTCAGCTTTCTTAAAAGGATACATCCAACATTTCCTTTTTGCCAGTACTGAATTGGACGATATCTTCTCTTCATTATGCTCCAAAAAAGTATTTTTATATATGTTTTTAGAAGGAAATCCAGTTTCTTACTTGCAACTGTTGGCATTTTAGAGCCCTGGAGTAAACCAATAAAAACACGTGTTCTTTTAAAGAACATCTATTTTTACTGGACCTTGCTAACAACCAATGACACAGAATCCAAAAAATGTTGGCTCGAATGAATAGAAGGGCTGCATTGTTTTAAATTCTATTTTTAAAATCTTTCTTTACAGCAAGATTACACAGAAATTTCATATGCTGTTGTTCTTGTGAAAGAGTGGTTTTTTTAGAATGCTATTTTAATGTTTTAAAAGTAGTTCAGGTATCAAAGTGTTGATACACTTTTTATAAAAATTTTTTCAAAGTTTTTTCAAAATTTTATGCAAGACATACACAATGTTGCTGTGTAAGAGTATTATAATACTTTCACAAACAGGATAATTAAAGATTTTACTTTCTAGACAGGTAAGAACAAATACATTTTGCTGCCTTTAAAATAAGTAATCCTATTAGAAATGAGCCCAGATTTCTAACAGAAATAATGAAATACATTACAAACAACAGATATGTGAATTGACTTTTTTTAACAGTACTGTTGGATACCTATGATTATTTAAAACTTATTCAAATATAGGATTGAATCATTCTGTTTTATGTACTATGCTGGATGCCTGATGTGCAGTACATTGTTAAGGACTTATTTTGTGTTTAATAAGTGTATGTGTTGGTATGTCTTTAAGATTTCTATCTCAAGATCTTTTAGTACTCCTTATTTTACTTAGACCTCAGTTATAATTTTTGCAGTCCTACAGCTCTCTGTTTCACAGTTTTTCTATTTTTAGAGTTGACATAGGCATACTTCATTTGTCCCAAGTACTAAATTGCTCAGGAATAGGTTGTATACACTTGATGGGAAGCTCAGTTGTCTTCCACAGTCACTAAGATAGCACAAGAGACTGATTTTTCCAAGTCTAATTTGAGACAGCAATGCTTACATGGGCATTATATCACTGTTCTAATTCCTTTCTTACTAGTGTTTTCAGAAAGTATTTATTAAAATACTTTTTATCAATTAATTGTCTTTTGTTCCAACATGGTCTATTAGCTTTGGGTTTTGGTGGTGATATCCAAAGTACTTGCTTGTAATTTACTGTTTTAAAATGTTCCTGCTAATAATTTTATTTTTTTCTAGTTCTAACAGTTGTTTCCCTATGTCTTCCTGGTACTTCATCTATTTTTGTTTTGGTTTGCTTTTTCTTGTAAAACAGGGGGGTTTTATAAGATAATGAACTGTCTGCTGAGAACTAATTACTCTTTCAAACCAAAGTAACTGGGCAAGACCTCTTACAGTTACCATAAAAAAACCAGTGAAATATAATTTATCTCACAATTTGCAGATCTTTAGTGTTTAAAATAGGTGTTCGGCTGACAGCAGTAAGTATACGTGTGTATGCACACAGTAGCAAATGTTACATTTTTCATTCTTTGTCATTAAGTTAAATATTTAAACAAAACAATCTTCTAACTTTTTTTCTTTCAAGATGCGGCGTGTGTTTGGGAATTAGAGTAGTCTCTTAGTGTGAAAAATACAAATATAAAAATTACATGTATATTTTCTAATAAAAGGCTGAGTCCTGGATTTGGGAGGAGTGTCTTTCATTTGCTTGCTTTTCTAAAAGCGTGTATTGCTTCCTTTATATCCACTTAATACATAAAAGCCAAAATCTAGCCTTATATTGGCATAACTAGGAACAGAAATTCACCACAACATTTTTAAGACTTTTTAAAACATTCTGCAAAATGGCTTTATCTGATACTAAACTTAGCTTTTTTTGGCATACAATTGGACCAGGAATAAGCTGGATAATGATGCACATTTGAAAAACGTAGCTATAGAACTGGTCTGGGATTTTTGTCTGATGCTTTCACTGCTGCGGAAATGGTGATGGGGTTATTTACGTTAATTCATTTTGCTTGTTGAAAAAAATATGCCCACACTCCTACTTAATGGGATTCTTTCCTCGTTGCAGTGCAAACGGCTGGAGCAGGAGCTTCATCATCTGAAAGAGCAGAACCAGACTTCAGCAAACAACACGAGACATCTGACTGCTGAAAACAATCAAGAACGTGCTCTGAAGGTAAATCTCCATTTCTTCTTGCAGGCAAATTACGGTTGTAAGCCCCTGGTGCCAGCTTTCTGGGCTGCATATATCAGTTGTGTACATTTCGGCAGAAGTGAGCTATGGTGTTTGCCAACAACCCCTTCTTTAAACACAGATACAGCACCCTTCTGTTATGGTTTTATTTTATTTTGTGTATGAAAACAACAAGAAAAAAATAACAAGAAGAAAAAAATATCCTGAAAATTATTGGGCTGGTAATTAATGCTGAATTCTTGGGGTCTGTCCTTGCAATATTACGTTTTATAATGTGAAGAAAACTGCAACTATTTGCCTCATGGTACCTTTGCAAAACTAGTATTTTAAAGCATGGCTGTTTGATCTGCTTACAGCAATGTGTGCTATATTAATAACATTGTTGACCTATACTACTAGTGACCACATAGTTGATACTACTATTTGCAAAAGGGTAGCTAGTTGGAATTGGGAGGAGGAATAATAAGTCTTGTCAATAAGAATAAAAATGAGCAGAGAGACGGGAGAAGGTCAGAGAAAGGACAGTGTAAAGTGACAGGTTATTGCTGCTTTGAGAAAGGGAAATTGTAACGTCAGTGGAATTGATAGCTACATAACCAGGAATCTCACCGCTAGCCCTAATAAGAGACTATGCCAGGTAAGACATGGGAACATCATGCACTCCTATTCAACCACTACATCCTTAAAATTCTCTCTTATGGGTAGTGGAGAGACAATATAAATACAGAAGTTACTCTGTTGATACTGTGTTGTCATTTTAAAACTCTGTTTGATTTAGGCAATAAGATCCAAACATACCTCATTTATAGGCAGATTTTCCTCTGTCTCCTTTTTCTTTTTTTTTTCTTTTATATTCGGGAAAAGTCATTATTTATGCAACAACTTGACCGATGCAAAGTATAGGAATTAAGGTAAATCCTTGTGTAGTTTGACATTTCTCAGTAAAAAAAAAGTATAGTGAATAAACAGAGAGAAGCTGTGCCCCACACAAATGCTGTATGTTCCATGGGTTTATAATTGCCGTCAGAATCTGTGGTGAATATTACAAAATCAGGTGTGCAATACTGAAAGCAATCCATCCTCAGATGTCTAGAAATAGAGATTGTAAACATTCAGGGCTGTTTCTGACCACAATAATAGTATTGTTTTGAATCTGATATCACTAAAGTTAGTACTTGCTGAGCATGCTACTTATTGAACATGGTATTGTTTTTCATTAATTGCATGCTGACTTGTTTTTTCTGTGTCATTGAAAATATTACACACAGAGTCTTTCTGTCAGAAAACGGATATGTTTTATTGAAACTACACTTTTTACATTTAATGTTGCCTGACATAATGCTTACAGAATAATTATATTTTCAGAGCAAGAAGTGACTTAATAGTTCAGAGTGTTACTAGGATTTCATTCTAAGCCTGATACTGCTCTCCCAGCACCTAATCTTTAAAGAATTTAATTTCTGGCTGTCACAGGCGTTTTCTGATTTTTCAAAGTTGGAGGTGAGAGTCTGGGGAGGAAAAAAGGAATGCTTTTCAATTTTTGGTGATGTTGAACTTTTTTTAGTATTGTACCTCTGTAGAGTTTGTCTCAGTTCATATTACTGTTGCCTACAACGAGGACAGGTCCATCAGAGTACTTTTTAAAAGGCTAATGGGTCAAGTTGAATTCTTGACCTTGAGAACTTTAAAATGTCCCTATGAAATACTGGCAATAGTAGTTAGCTTTGACATACAGCATATGAACACTCATCCTGACCTAAGCAGTCATGTAAATGGAAAGCTTATCAGCCCTTTTTAGTGTAGCTACAACCTAGAAAATACAGACTGGCTGGTAGGGATTGAAGTCATGCCAGCGACTCCTTTAGAAATGGGTTTTACCACTGCTCTGGGCCTGGCTGCGGCTGGCCGGGACGTTCCCGCTGCCTTCAGCAGCAGAGCTCCCTGCCGGAGGAATATCCATCTGGAGCCCTCTGACAGGTGACAAACGCACTGTGGGGTCCTTGCACACACTTCCCCTGTGAAACCCGTTGGTTCTTAGCTGCTGCCTCCTGCCTCTTGTATGCGCTCAGCAGCTATCGTAAGTGCTACACACAGAGTGCATGTACAGACCAAAGAAACCCTTCCTGTCTCCTGTCCGCTGCCGATCACCCTCTGGTCATATGACCATTTTCAGAGAGATAGGACAGACCATTTGTCTCTGTGGTGCAGGGTTAAATATCAACACAACTATTTTTATTTTCACCATGATCCAGAGAACTATATGTACTTTAACCAGCTCCATGTGCTGGAACTGTGCTATGTACTATTAATTCAGATGTAAACACCTGTCCTGTAGGAGTCCAGGTATTCCTTCTGTGTCTATCCAGAAGAGTTTCTATTAATAAAGTTTGGGGGGTTGGTTTTTTGGGGGGGTTTTGGGGGGTTTTTTGTTTGGGTTGGGGTTTTTTTTTTTATCTTTAATTTTCCCTGCTCTCTTAATTAATGTTATCTGATTCAGTTTGGCAAAAGATCTATTCTGGTGATAGGTGGCAGATGAGGAATTTGATCTGCTTTAAATTTTCTTCAGGGAGTAATGGAAATGTAAATATTAGATGTGGTGCAAGGATACTTGCAGTCTTAACCAGATAAAAATACAGTAATCAGGATCAGCTAGATTAAAGATGGCATAGAGGTTTGTGATAAAGGATGGGATCATTACCTCCATGGGGCCCTGAAATACACCTAACAACAAAACCCAATGGGTATTGTTTCTTTCTTACTTTTTTAAATCATCTCACAATACTGAGTTTCTCGGAAAGAAAAAAGTGTAAGAACAATCCACAGGAAACCTATTTCATTCCATGAATGGTATGGTCTAATAGTAAGGTAAGCTGCAAGCTTTCAGCTTTATTTTTAGTCATATTAGCCCACAGGACTACTGCCACCCTTCTTTGAGGCAGTAGCAGCCCATAGACTCCTGAGTGAGGCAAAGCAGCAGAGAAACAGATTGTAACTGTGGGAGAGGTGTGATGACAGTAAATTGGCCAGATCCAGGATCCGGAAATCACAAAGATGATGTGAGCATTCTTGCATACTTTTGTTTTCACACTTTTAGATCCCATGTCACACCTGAGGATCATATGACAATTAAAACATATGACACATGAGGCATGTTGTATAGGCCTATACTGGGCCATTTCATCTTATTGTGCAATATAACATCTGCACGTCTTTAGTAAGATATATCTTAACTAATCTCTGTCATACATATTAGTAGTATGTGATTTCAAATTTCCACATTTAATGTATTTGTTGCATAGAATATTCTTTATAGTGATGTGGGACATTCAGTCCCACAATGCCAAACCGGTACTCTTAATTTTTATAATATTCTTATTGATCATAGAGGATTATATTAATTGAACAAAAAGGCCAATTTCAAATCTTCCCTCCAGGCAATACCCACAACTGCATGGAGGTCATTCAGAGAAACATGTGGACCCCTATTTCCGTAGTTAAGGTAAAATAATCCTCTTCTTTGTGAAACCATTTTAAAAAAATCTCTTATAATATTTCAGATTGAATTATAGCTAAATCTTTTAGGGATAATTGCTTCCTAAGGGCCTATACATTTGCGCTCTTACTACATTTTCATAAAATAAGATCTGCAGAGTGCTTTGCAGTTCTAATGTGTCAGGGTCTATACGTAAGATTATTCATTTGTGCTTGGCCTTCATAATTAACATTTGGTCTCTACTGATTCTGATAAAGGTATTACCACAATTCACTGGAATAGCTGATTCAATTAAACATAGATAAGTTGAAGAATTGCTATTTTTTCATTAGTATTCAAATATTGTTGTGGATCATTTTATTGTTGTTAGCTTTGTAATGTGTAGTTTTGAAATACAGAGTTTTAAATAATACATTTTCCTAAAGAAAAATAAAGATTTTGCTGGTATGAATGTCCTCTTCACTCAGGTAAAGAAGAATAGGAAATAACTTTTGTGAAACAAATAACTTAATGTGAAAATTCATGGAAAATGTTTAACGGGATTTGGATGAAACATAGGGAGAGGTGACTTTTTTTCACAGGCCTGATTTATTTTGTAATTTTTAATTAGGTGGTACATTCTTCTTAAAGCAGCTCTTAATCTACTTTAAAGACCAGAGAGACATACTAATTTTACTTCCAAACCAAAGTCTCAAAATGGAGAGGAGGGCTGTTTCGAATCAGGTGCCCTTTAGTGACTAAATGAGTTTACTACATCCAAGTATGATGTCATTAGAACTTGTAAAGGTTATTAATCTCCTTCAGAGCTGTTAAGATATTAATCTTTGATTATCATTGGCTTGTTTTGTTATGTTTTTCTGACTAATCAGTCTTTTTAGTTGTGATTTTCTGTAGAATTCATCCTACATGCTTCCATGGTTTTATTAAGGATATCATAAATTTAGAGTCAGAGGCAAGAAAGTGACCTGAAGGAGCTGTCAGAAATTTGTCTGCAGTAGTGTCATAAAGCAATTGCAGCTGACATCATCTGCTTTGTGCTGACACAGGATTTGTATCAAGGGCAGGAAATCTACCATGCATAGCAGTTTGGTAGTTGTTCCAGTGAGGATACCTGTGAAAAAGCCACTCTAGAATACTTAATTTAAGTACACTCTGATGCTTGTCATAAAATGTATTAAGCTCTGTTTTGATTCCTAGAATTTCCCAGGGTTTTAGGGTAGAAAGCATTTTTTGATATCTGCTTGACAATGCCAAGTGCAAAACCAGATCCAGCTGACTAGTCAAGGTATCATCCATGAAGAGCATGATCCTAAGAGAATCTGATGTCATAAGAGCTTAAAAAAAAATTAAGAAAAGCTTTACCTTGAAGTTTAAAATGTTTGCTACTGTTGAAAAGCATGGAGTATTCATGCAATTTAGGCATATAATATTGACTGTGGAATAAAGTGCTTCTTTCAGAACATAGTAACTGTGGCTCTTATCTGCAAAA